GACTGAGAACTTATGCGTCACTTCTAGCATGGAGGCCTTAAAATGTTGATGACATTCGTCACTGTGGGTTCACTGCGGATTCTTCGGGAATGTACAGTCCCGGTAGGAATTTCGATTCGCAAAAGTAAGAATCCTTTTGCCAGAGGATCTGAAGGATGACCAAGGCGCTCTTAATCCCAGGGCCTATCAGTGTTGAAGATATTCGTTACTACATAAACAAACAGAGATTCGTGAAATCCCTCTACTTGTAATAGGAGAACTAAGACGTGTCTTGACGGATTCCATCACTTCTGGAGATGCAAAGGTTTTCAAAGATTGGTAAGAGATGCCAGTGCTTCTGGTGGGAGATTGAGGTACTTGAGATCCCGAGTCTCCTCTGGAGGGAATTCTCGAAGCGTTGATGACATTGGGTGTACCGCAACATCTTTAGAATGTGGAAGAAAAGGAGACTGAAAGGGAAAACCAAGGAGTGTCTAGGTTTTTCGGCGTCACTAGAGCGAAGCTCCAGAATTTGAGAATCTTTGCACTACATGGAATTGCAGGGTGTAAACCGCTTTACTTCCAGCGAGAAATCTTGAAGTAAAGGTGAAAATCTTTGCAAATGTGGAGTTTCACAGCAGAAGTTTGATACACATCTGGTAGGGGGCCTTCAAGTGTAAGAAGCGTTTTGAGACACTGTATGGACTTTGGAAGTAATTCTTGCTTTCTTTTAAGAGAACTGGAGGGTATCTGAGGGGCTTTGTTTTCTTGCCTCAGATAGCATTGGAATAAAGGAATTGAATTACTATAATGACTGTGAGACAAATGGCGGCTGAGAAGAAAAATGAGGGGGGTTTGAAGCGTTCAGCGTCACATCTAAAGAGAAGCTTTGAGAAATCCTCTTTGCATGGAATCCAAGGGAGGAGGGTGAGAGGGAGGGTCCGCATCATTTGATCTAGAGGATTCACTGTGCAGAGTTTTTAATTTTGAATAAAACGTGTAGTTTTGTTAAAAAAGGGGTGTCTAAGGATTCCGCTTCACTCTGTAGCGGTTTTTTTTGCAAGGACTTTTGAGGATGTAAAATTATACTCGTACTTCTGGTAGGATACTGAGTCTGGAGGGAAACCTGGAAATGTCAAAGGCATCGGATTCACTGCAAAGAATTTCAGGATATGGCAGAAATGGCGGTGCTTCTGAAAGGGGAAGCGAGGTGTTTGAAGGCTTCCGCCTCACTTCTAGAGAGATGCCTCAAAGAAGGAAATCTTATGCATTTCCTGGAATTTGGGGAGGGGGAGGGGGGGGGGGTTCGTCACTTTGGCAGAAAGCATTGCGATTAGAAGGGGAAATTCTTTGCACTGTATGTAATTCTAGTGAAAAGAGTTTTGCGCTAGAAGGTCTCTGAGTTTAAGCCTTTGAATTCCTGACAATCACTGGAACTTTAGGAAAACACTGTCCTGCTCCCCGATCAAATGTGCAAAGCTTTTTCTTGATGAAAAAGACCTGACAATTTCTACGACTATGCACGTTCAACGAAATATCTACTGCAGCTTTTCAAGTTTTTCAAATAGTTTGAAGTAATTCTATTTAACCTTCCAAAGCTGCAAATTGTACACTTTGATCTCGCTGGACATTTGGCTATGAATTTCCGAAAAGCCTCGTCTCTGAGGAGTATCATATTAAGTAATCCCAATTTCACAGCCAGCAGTGAGCAGATTTTGGCTAAATGACTGCTCAATGATGACTGAGGCGGGATACTGTTATAGAGAGTATTTTAGCGGCAGGGTCTTCAGAATGTGAGATTAACTTGAAGTTTTTCATGCCACGCAGGTTTGTCAAGAAAGAAATGCCAGATTTTACGAACAAAGAACACACGAAATACGTAAAATTAGTTCCTGAATGTCTGCATTTTGACGATAAGTCTGTAGCTACAGAAAAAGCGATGTGCAAGCTTTAGTCGAATATCATGCTTAGCCCTTTTCCGGCTGAGAGGCACACCATTAGAAGATGAGCTGCGTCTCGGCTCGGATCAGATGTGCTACATAATATAATAGATGATTGGTGGTGATTTCAAACATGAAAAAATGGATCCAGCTCTTGCTAAGATGCTTTTGCAGTAAGAACAACAAAGGTTGAATTATAGCTATCCATTCATTGCTTAATTCCTGTTTCGTTAAAAGTACGGTATTGTGGCAACAGTCTCGAACTCCTGTTTTATCATATTAGGTGAAAAAATCGTCAAATTGATAGATCTGTTTGTTGTAACTCATAGTCGCAAGAATGCTACAGCTTCGAATGTATCTGCCCCACCCCACTTGCTAGCGACCCGTAGGGTCGCTAGTCTAAATTAAGTATAATGTAGCCGAAAAATAGCTCTACATAACAGTTATTAGCGCTTTTTGAAAGTAGTAGGAGAAAAATTGTGAAAATTCAGAAAAGATTTGGCGTTACTGCTGAGCTGCTCAAAAAGCCATGGCGATAACATTGCTAAGACAGGGTAGATCAGAGAACAAATATAGCTGTAAGAAAGGGGATGAAAATCTGAATCAAATGATACCTAGATCTTCCTTGAATAGCTGTTCTGTTGGTTTTAGTGAGTGTGGGAAAAAACGACAAAACTTTCGGGACAACCTGATATGTGATAAATCGGAATTATGTATAACTTTCCGGAAAAGCGCTGTAAATTAAATTGAGTCGGGAAGTTGCATGAAGCCTGATGTTTGCATATATTCTACATAAGAATAAATTTAGATGCCAATTCTTGGCCTATCGACTTTACGCATAAAAAATTTTTATTGGTGGGAACACCAAAAACTAAAGTACAGAGCACAGCTTTGAGCATTTTTGCCTGATTCAAGCCTTTATCCATCCAGTCCAGGAGCCAACTGTCTTGTCCGTGCGTCAACTAGCACAGGGAAAAATTTGCGAACTGAAAAATTCCATCATTCTCATTTCAGTTCTCAGATTTTTGAGTTAGCTATGTCGGTTTGGTACTTTTTACTTTTAGAAAGATTTTGTTGCTCAGGACAACGGAGGCTTAGGAGCTTATTTTGACTTCATTTGTCTAGATTTTTTTTGTAGATTCTATAAAGCCAATTAAATTTTCCTCTTCTCCAACATGGCATTTTCTCGCCTCATTATAGTCAATCGAATTCATGTGCTGCAAGTGCATGGAGCCCTCAACTCTACTTCTCAGGGACTCCCCTTCCCTCCACTGTGAGCGCATTTCCCCGCCCTGCACGTTTCTCGCAGCTCCAGCATTTTCTCTGTGTGTCGACGTCATACGCAAATCCATAGATGCACTCTCTTTCCACCTCGCAACTTGTCAGGTTTTTCTTGTATTATCGATGAGACAGAGTCGAAGTCGAAGGGCACAGGGGCCCTCGTGGGTGGGTAGAATCCAGATTATACGTAAGCTTTTCTAAGCACCGTTTCCATTGTTTACAGTTATTTCTTACTTGATTTGGCTTTGTTCAGTTTGTGATTTGTTTCTGTCACTATATGATGTAGATGTTCCCGTTACTGGACACACCTTACATGAATAGGTGAAAACCGGTCCGGTGCAGGTAATTGTCTGAAAGAGCGTGGGAACCAAATTGACACAGTGAAGGTATGTTTGGTCTGCTACCAAACTTCACATCCGCTTTCTCTGAAAATTTTCCCGTTGCTTTTTCTCAAATATTTTGTGACGAGAGTTCTAACTGCTCTTACAAGGGATGGATACTTGGTCGAAGCGGCGTTTCCATACGAAATGTGCAATGTCCTATAAAGTATGGAACGCTGAGTTCAAATCTGCTTTTGATATCTGCAAAGCGCTTCTAGCGGAGTTATGGATTTTTGATGCCATAATGCGAAAGCGCCGCTACAATGACATTCAGAACCATAGTCGGTGAGCTCGAATGGAGCCATGATTATACCAGGACGTTTTATGGAATAAAGACCTTCAGTCTAATAAACTCATGTTAGTCATTACTTTTTTCAAGCGTCCGAAAGACCTCAACACCTACTTCATATCAACCAGATCAGTGAATTCTTACTTCAGAAAATTCCCAGAACTCCCTTCTCACAATCAGAAGCGCTTTGCAGATATGGAAAACAGATTCGGAATCAGCGTTGCATGCTGTATAAGACAGTGTACAATTCATATGGAAACGCCACTTCGAGCAAGTGCCCTTCCCTCGTTAGAAAGTCTATGTTATAGCGCCGTAATTCGCTAAAGTGTAATAAAGGCTGATTAGGTCTGAGAAAGCCCTATTAACTACACGTTGTGCACTGACCTTTGGAATGAGCTAGTTGTGGCCGTTAATGTAAGTAGTTCTTCTCTCAATTTAACTTATCTGTATATCTTTTTTTGTGAGCTCCACAGTGTTTGCGAAAGCTCGCATTGATTCATATTGTCTTATACAAAAAAAAAATCCGAAAAATATCCCATGCTTTTATTTCTGTACATTGTTTCTAATCTGTGTAAATACAGTAATGTTGGTGGACTTAGAGATAATGGATTTTGGATTGATAAAAAACGCAATTTGGGAAATCTATTATGACTTTCAAATTAATTCTGTACGTCCCATAAGCTCTTATTCTTTTCCTTTTTTTCGCTAGGTGTGGATTACTAGTGGATACAGAAAAGCAAGCTTTTTGAGAATGTTTTCGCGCAGTTTTTTATACATATATAGAGCGCAAGCCAAAATATAGTCGGATCTCCGAAAAAACTCTATGCACCCTCGACATGTTCAAGCTCTTCTGTCCACCTTAAACTTCATATAAACCGTTGCTGTATGTTGACAAGAAATCGAGAAAAGGGCAATGGATTTGTACCGGCAAACGTAGCTTTTAACGTTTCCTCCCACGCACGTAATTAGATTGTCTCTCATTCAAAAGTACAGTAATAAATTCTCAACCTTGTATTTGCTAGAAATTATGGGACAACCTATAAATGCCTTGTATGCCGATGTACTTGAGGTAATGCATAATTTGTCGCATTTCTAAGCTCTAGGTAATTTTCGTTTTTTTTTCTAGAGCGGATGCTGGAAACTCCCTCTAGTGTCCATGAGAAATTGACGTCAGTGCGCTCGAGCCCTTGTTAGTGCGTTTCTATTCAAAACTCCATGTGCCTGCTGCTATAGAGACGTAATGTGTTGTGGCTTCGTAATTTCATACAGTGCATGTTCATGAGTGTTTGTATTCATTTCTTTGAGAAAAGAATCTGAGAAATTTCGAGTCCGGAATTTTTCTCGCCGTAATGCAGTATGTTTGGAGAAGATGTTTTTTATTTTCTTGCCTGGATATCGATGATGATATCATTGATTCCATAGCCTTGGAATTTGTATGCAAGTGATATCATGGGGTGCTTTCCAGAGTACATTCGATACATATTTTTCCTCTTTAATGTGTTGTTACCTCATCGAGCACTTGCTGTAGTACATTAGAATCGCATAAAAGCCATGGTTTGAAATTCCATGCCTCTATTATCTTTGTGAATGATGCCGTATTTGGTTACAAGTGCTCTTATCTTGCTCTCTATCAGGTTCATATGTCTGCTCGTAGAAAGTTCACGAACGTAAAAAGAACGATCGTTTTGCTAGTGGTCTGTCGGCTTTATGTCATTTATACATTAGCGAAGAGGGTGAGCGCGAAATTTCTGGAAGACTGTCAGTAAGCTTTGATTTTTGCGTCTCCATAATCGATTGCCTTACTCATTGTAATTGGCAGATGTTGCTGTTGATAAATGATGTATGTTTCATCTGATTGTCTTCTTACCATTTACATTAATCGATAAGTGGTCAGGGTGATTACAGCGCCAAATGTGAGAGCGAAAAGTTGAGTGCAGTCATCTTCAGGACTTTTTCCTCGCTTGATCCATCGGTTGATTTTTGCAACCGTACCCATGTCAATTATTATCAAAACCACGTAGTCCTCGTCTGTTCCGTGCCCTCCTCACGTCTCTCCACTTTACTGTGATCATGTTCACTGAAACTACTCGGTTTAATCCGTCCAAAATTCCATTGATGACAGTTTTTATAGGGTATTATATCATCAGACCAAGATGATTGGTCGTCGAGTCCCGGCATTGCAACGGTGTGCCATAAATATTGCGCGGCAGGTCGGTTGAGAGATTCTTTTTCTGTTTGTCCAAACTAGCCACATTCCACATTGTTTATCTTCAGCGTTTCTCTGCATCACTTTCACCTTGCCGCTGCATATTTACCCGTGAGTTTTTTTTGTAGGCTCACTGTATCTCAAATAAGCAATGATTATTCGAATTTTCTTGCAGGTAGATCACTTTCTGCCTCGACTCGTGTCCCAATTGCTCAAGTGAGCTTTGTTCCTATTAGAGCTATACATGCAAGTGGAATCAGACGTGAGTTCTGTTTAGCGCTCTATTTTTCGTAGTATGTTCATTTTTTGAAAGCTATAATCCGACAAATGTCATATGCACTGATAGGAGCATAGTTTTTTTTTTCAGTCGCGGACGTTATCGTTGTGAAAGGTCCAGACTTTGCGGAATCTATCTCTGAGGGAGATATCCGATGGATCAAAAGTTTGTTGTCGTGTACTTTGGTACTCATACTGATGAATCATATGCTTTTTTTAGAAGTGGGAGATTTTGTGAAGGAAGATGAACTAGTCGCCGAGATTGAAACTGACAAGGTGAGCAATTTGTGGGCATGGATTTTCCTTTTTTCTTATCTCACTTACTGTACCAGTTTGCATGTTCATTTCTTTTTTGTTTTTTTTTCTATTTGCATATGGTTTATCTGTGCACATGCACACCCTGGACCCTTCTGAACAAATTACACGGGGTTTTGGCAATAAACGCGCACGTTGCTTCAGTGTCAGCTGTGCCGTGGATCCATAACTGCAAGCTGTAACACCGATTCGAGCGCCTTATTAGTGCTTGCTTGAGTGACGTCACTTTTTTCCAATGACTCGAATTAGTTGAAGATTTCAGAAGCTTCATAATTTTGACTTTTGAATTCGAGTCATTGGAATATCAAAAAACCGCCCCTCCTCTATCTATCTCACGCACTGCATACTTTCTCAGAATGTCAGTTTTGATTTTTTATGCTACCAAAGTTTGCCTTCTCTTCGTAGAAAGTTCTCGACAGAAAAAGTGGCGCCTGGTGCCTAGCAACATCATATCCACATCATCTGTTCTCCTTCAAAGAGTGTTGAAGCGTTAGAAAAACATTGTTTTTGACAAATTGCGATAGAGTTGACGCATGTACGATCAGCTTAGAACATATTATCCTATTTTCCCACGGTACCTTCATATAAAAAAGGTTTTAGGTTGCACAAAAAGTTTTGCTTGCTTCTTAGGTCATGTATACCAAAATGTATTATTAGTTGTTTGAAGGAAATTTTGATTTGGTCCACATTGTGAGAAAAATATGAGCTTTTTTAGAAATTGATTAGATCCGAGGCGTAGCTGACAAAAGCGAATTATGGCATTTTTTTTGAGCATTCTCTTTTCATCTTTAATGCATCAAAAAATTTATAAGAGGCTTTTACAGTGCATGATAGAAAACATATATTGTCTTTCAAAGTTTTCCTTAGGGGAATTATCCTGATAGTTTAGAAGTTGAAGACTTTTGGCATTTTTTTTTATTTTTCTTTCTAAGATTTTATCTACAAAAGTAAGCCATCAGCGTATTGAAATATCAAAGCAACTTGGAAAGGTGTCACTGTTTTTACAACTACCAACCCACAAATTGCAATGATTTTTTGTTGTTTTTGAAGCGGTCATCAAAAGTTGGCCGAAGTCCAGGGCAGCGGCATGCAAAGCTAAACCTCCCTAAAACAGTTCGTAAGCTACTCCAGTCGGGGAATCCCCTTTTTTCCCTGCTTGACACTGTGCCCATTGTGGGAGACGTACAAGCTACCCTAAAGCATTTCGAATTCCCACACTAGCGAAGAATTCGGTCCCTATTGTCACAGGTATTTTCTAGACATCTGTTGAAGTGCCAGCACCGCAATCTGGAACTATTGTGGAATTGCTAGTAGAAGATGGTGCCAAAGTCACAGCAAAACAAGAGATTTACAAACTTGAACCTGGGACAGCTGGTGCTAGCGTAAGTGTTCCAAATGATTTTACAAAAGCTATCATAGGCAAATTTTAGGCCCCTGCCAAAGAAGCCCCGAAAGCTGCTGAAGAATCCAAAGAAGCAGCGAAACCACCGCCACCGAAGGAAGAGGCCAAGCCAGCTGCGGCCCCACCACCTCCATCGCAAGCCCCTCCACCACCACCACCGCGACCTGCGCCCAGCGTTTCAGGTAATATTGAGTTGGCTAAAAAAATTAACTACATATTACACGAAGAATTGGTGGTGTTCTTTATCCATAAATTTTTCTGCGCTGAAGTAGTTCGAAGCTTCTGCTATTACATGTCAGCTACTTGGAATTTTTCATCATCGGTAAAGGACCGTTATGCCCTAACATGGTTAAATTATCCAGATCTTTGACTTTCTCTTCGCTTTCATGCTGTGATGTTTTCTCTATCTAGCGAATTACGACAACCTGCCCTCATGAAATTTTGTTATGCAAAAAAAACCATTATTCCACATTTGCGCACAGTGAAAGTTGTATGTCAGTTCTTTGAGTTTCTCTCACTAGGAAATAAATTCTAATCAGATTTTACATTTTATTCTTAAATTAGAGTGCTCCTTAATACCAAATAACGGACAAAAATTTCTCTGCGACATCTAGCAGCGATTGCACTTATGTATCAGCCAACCATCTTAGGAACTCCCTTTATCTAAGACTGTGATTGTGGCTCTTTGAAGTGACACTGCCACTTTACTTTTTTACAGGGAGGTAGAGGGGGAAAGTTATACAAACAATATCGGTTTACCTTTACATCATCAAAAGAACCTTTTTTGCCACACGTGCGACTTCTGTTGACTTTGCTACTATCATGAGCGCGCAAAGAGTAAGGGATTCGGGTTGAGGGGAGCAGAAATTTGAAAAAGATTTTGTTGCAATTATTTGATAACGGAACACGATACAAATATTATTTATTAACAGAAGTTCTCGAAGATTCAAGACTTTTAGCTGGTGGGAAAAACCCTCTCTTCCAGGAGACATCCCAAAAAGTCCACCACCAGTTTCACGTCCTCCACCTGCACCAATGAGCTCTACGCCTGTGAGCAGTATCCCAGTTCAGCGTATAAATCTCCCAGCAGGTGCATCTCCCGAATTAGCCATTACTGGAGCAAGGGAAGAAGTGAGATCTTTATTCTTCTTGATCATTTGTTTGGTTATATTTGGAGACTGTTTTTAAAGTGATGTTTTTTTAGATCCGCGTGAAAATGAATCGGATGCGATTGCGTATTGCTGCCCGATTGAAGGATGCACAGAACACTTATGCTATGCTTACTACTTTCAATGAGGTTGACATGAGGTACTGATATCCATTAAATTCTCCTTTTTTGGTATTTTCCTTTTTTGTCATGTTAAATGTCGGGTAACCATGGTTGACCATTTAACAATTTAGTTTTTCATCGTTTTGAGTCTTATGCAGCTGTAGGTGTGAACCAGTCGTGAAGGGTGGGGGAGGGGTAATTTTTTTTTCAGACCCTTTATTTCAGCAACATTATCGAAATGCGAATGAAGTACCAGAAAGACTTCATGAAGAAACATGGAACTAAACTTGGTCTAATGTCTCCTTTTGTGCGAGCAGCTGCCTATGCCCTCCAAGAAACCCCAGTAGTTAACGCGGGTGAGCTCCTAGCATGGCTTAGCATTATGGTGTTAAAGTTAATATCTGATTTATAGTCATCGATGAAAATGAGATTATATACCGCCATTTCGTTGACATGTCCATTGCTGTAGCTACACCTAAAGGATTAGTAGTACCAGTATTGCGTAATGTCGAATCAATGAACTACGCCCAGATTGAAAAGGAATTAGCAGCACTCGGAGAGAAGGTAAGGTTCCACAAAAACAAACAAACGGGTCAGACGGCGAATGAATGAGTTTAGGCCAGGGATAATAAACTAGCTGTAGAGGATATGGAAGGAGGCACATTTACTATCTCGAATGGTGGAGTTTTCGGATCGGTATTCGGCACGCCAATCATCAACCCACCCCAAAGCGCTATCCTAGGAATGCATGGAATTTTCGATAGACCTGTTGCTATCAATGGAAAGGTAAGCATATTTTGCTATTTTTCGGTCTCTCAGTTATCAATTCGCAAGTGTCTAAAATGGCTATTTATGTGAACAGCTTCGTTTGAATCACTAGATGGGTAAAATACTGTGTGCTTTCTGAAGTTTATAGACCTATATCCTTAATTCGGGAATGTGGCATGGCCGGGGCCAATCTCCAAATCTTTTGCTGAATCAATTCCACTACGCAATCGGAAACTAGTCCGCACAATTTTTTTACATCACCAAACAGAAATCTTAGGACCCCTTATTAACCTCCTCCCCTTGAACTTTCCCCCTGTCCGCCACTGATCATAAGGGATAATTTCATGTTTATAGCTTTCATTTTGTATATCTTGCTATTTAGCCACGAATATTTTTAGTTTGATGTTTTTGTGAGCATCTAACATCCCTGAGCAGTTATTCTCAATATCTAAGAAGAAGCATTTTGTTCTTTTGAAGCATTTCATTCTCTTCCTTTAGGTCGAAGTCCGCCCAATCATGCAAATAGCTCTGACATACGATCATCGACTGATTGACGGCAGAGAGGCGGTGACATTCCTCAAAAAGATCAAATCCGCAGTTGAGGATCCGCGCACGATTTTGATGAATCTATAATTTGCTTTCATTTGCTTGACTAGACGTTTTAATAAGTTTTTTTTAGCTTTTACAGGCTAGGAGTATTGTAAACATAGCTGTATTTGAGTATGTTCTTGTTGTTCGTTCTAACTGATCTTAGCACTAGGGATTTTTGAAGACGAGCGAAGTGATCTAACATGACTCATATTTTTTATGTTGCAGCAAGTTGGATTATATTCAGTGCACTCCACAATGCTGTGCTAGTGCAAAGATTTTCTATTTTTGTTCATTTTATACTACCATAGGTACCGTGTTTTGTCATTTGTCTCGGTTGCACTCGTTTCAACGGTGAATAAATTTGCCATCACTATCTTGCGAAGCTTCAGTTTCTTCTAGATATCTGCCTAGTACAGCAAATGTCTTTCACATACCTTTTGGTATAAGCATTTAGGCTGCTCTAAAGTTGCCCAGGCCACAGCGGTTTTGGCTGCCGAGATACATAGTTTGTTGCTCTGCAATGAAAAAATCATCGGTCAAGAATTTGAACCATTCATGGCGCATCCCCCAAGATTATTCCCATAGGTACAATAAACGTGGCTGCCTTTCAATCTTTTAACACCTTAGTTTTTGCAAATTCAAAGCACTTATCTGGACTTGACATGCTAAAACGATCGAAAGGTAGCAACGTTGATAGCAGCTATATGGAAACAATTCTGGAGGATGCACGAATTACGAGCAAATCAAGGTTTAGCGCCAGATTATGCGCATATGTGGGGACATCTTTTGTGTGTTTCGATGATTATTGCTAGAAAATTCGTCCACGCTATGTAGATGATGCCTATAGGCTACTGTCGGATGACGGCTCAAAATCTAGGGGCGCGAACGCGGATAGTTAACCGCGGAGTACATGAGGCGCAGGATTTACAACGGTGAAAATTCGCGCTCGCTTAAAGCTGAGCTTAAAGCGCTTGCTTAACGGGTCGGCAGAATGGATCCTTCTCGAATTTTGGTGGATTCAGGTAGTAGACCCCCAAGTGCTCTGTAGCCAAACCCCACCTGCCAATTCATGCGCTAAGTCCTGAAAAATGCGCTTCAAAACTTCACCAGCCCGCCCACTCAGTGGAAATGGGCAGGGCTGGTAGAGTTTTGAAGCGCATTTTCAGGACTTAGCGCATGAATTCGCAGTTGGGGTTTGGGCTACAGAGTACTTGGGGGTCTACTACCTGAATCCACCAAAATTCGAGAAGTGCCCATTCTGTGATCCACTGCCTTCAACTAGTACTGCTTCTGTAATCTGAGTTAGAGGTATTCGAAGCATAGCCAAATCACATGGACCGGAATCGCGTGAAGTATGCTCAGGCCGCCAGCTATCCACTGCAGCGCACGAAAATCATCAGTTCGCGCGTGCTTTTCCGTGTTGTTGTGCAGCATGCAGATGTCGGTGCACTTTCGAAACCCTCCTTGCTTTCCTTGGCACTTGATGAAATCTTGGAAGCAATTAATTTTCACAAGCTCATGTCTCTGCTTATGCGCAAAATTTGTCATTGCTGCTATACTAGCGTCCCATACAGGTCCCAGTTCTGTGCAGTCATAAACAACTTTTTGAAATCTGACTGACTTATCAATGGAACTGATTTCTTTTGAGGTGGGCGAAGGGGTGCATGGCGGATTCTGACGATAGTTTCTTCGATGAGATTGAATCAGACGTAGAACACGAAGGTGATGTAAGTGACAACGCCGTTATTGTGTTGCTTGTTCTCCCTTTTTCTGTTTCTCACGTCTAATCATCCAACGATGCACTGTCAAACTATGTCGAGGAGATCAAAATCCTTCTGATGTTTAGGAGACTCAAGCCATTTTCGAAGACGAGGTGGAACTGGAGCCAAGCGATCAAGAAAGTCCTTTCATCGCACAGTTACCCCCAACACCACCTCCTCAGCCAGCGGCTGCGGTTGTTATCGAAGCGCAGCCACCCATGCTGCCAACAACTCCAAAAAAGATGGCTGAGTTTGCTAATAAGATGGGAATGGTCGTAGAGCGGGTGACTACAGCTTTACAAATTTTCAGAATCGCATTTTAAAACGCGAAACTTTAGGCAGTGGTCAATGTCCAAGAAGTATCGGAGGAAAAGCCTTCAACAAGTGTTACGAAACGAAGCGCAAAGCTTACTTTAACACTGAGTCCGTCGAAGACTATAAAGAAGAAGAAGTAGGGTTTTCCTTTTTCTACTAAATGCTTCTTTCACGTTTTTGGTTCTTGTTTCTTTTTTTTTAGAGTATCTTGTCCAGGAGGACTTTTAGTTTAGTGTTCTGGTGGTTGTTTTTGTACCCTAATCTTGTAGATGAAACCACGTTTTTATGTTGGACTCAAAATTTTGGGATTGTGGGTGTGTAAAGCCCTCAAAGAGCTCCTGACTAACATATGAATACACCAAGCCCTATGTTATTGGATTTTTGTGGCAAATAATAGCAAAAAATCTAGGTCGGGTTCATCCTCAGGCGTAGACATATCTGCCGATTCTAGGGTACTCCAGTGCCTTTGCTAACTGATGTGCCGTATTTCAGGCTGGGTTCTGGTGAGGCCGTGAAGACTTTTGTTTTCATGGACTTCGAGACTACAGGCAGGATTCGTGGAGATATGGATGGTACTCGACGCCATGTAAATAGCAGACTGCGCGACCCGCATGATTTTAGCAGTGCACTTAGCGCTCTGATTGCTGAAAGTGAGTTGATGCAAGACAACATTCTATATCCATTCTTTGTTCTAGCTCAACGCTCCGAATATCCAAGAATCACGGAAATGTCATTTATCAGTGTACCGCGTGAAATGTTCATTCGAGGACAGGAAAAGATGAAAGAAATGTGCGACTCGGTCAGTGCGTCCAATTTTTTTTTGTAGTCTTAATATTGTAGAACCTTAATCTAGAGTATTATAGGGTGACAGTGGTCTTCGTGTACGCTTAGCGGCTAACGTTCACACTCGACAGCTGAACCCTCAGCTAAACGAAAACCAGTGGAAGGCCTATGAAGCGGCGCGAATCGAAGGAAAAAGTTGTAAATCCAGCTTCTTCTTTGAAATTGTCTTCTTCTGGATTAGTCGTAGTTGGACAGTACTTGGACTAACACAGCAGAGTATCTACTTTGCATGAGTAGCGCGGAAGCAATATTGGAACGCTATATTCTCATTTTTTGGGGGGACACGACATGAGGGGCACCATTCTTTTCAGTTTTTGATTTTTTTTTGGGACTGGACATTCGTTTCTTTTCCAAGCAGAGCTATCGATTTTGGCCTCCTTTGATTGCTTTGTGGTCGCATTTGTTCTGTAAACATCATCAATCCGTTGTGTTACCCACTATAATTGCGTTTTTGCTTACAGAATCGAAGCATTCGTATCAGTACAAAACTGACATGATGTAGACCATTTTAGGTCTGAATCATGCTCGCCGGGATCTCGTACTAAAGCAGACATTTGCGGAAGAGTGGCTAGGTGTTAGAGCATTCCTGGAATCGTGTCCGAAGCCAGCATGTTTAGGTAAAAGACAATCTTGTTTCAACTTTTATAAAGCTTCTTTCCAGTTGCCCATAATGGTATCTATTTTGACTATCGTATACTTTATGGTGAACTAGAACGCTGTGGTTTCATTGAGAAAGACATGGGAATTCCCGAGGATGTAAGTGAAATACATTGATTGTTATAACTAACGTCTCGTTCAGGTGGTATTCATTGATTCATGGTTGGCTATCAGAGAGATCGAGGAAGCACAAAGAGAAGAGATTCAGCATACAACGAAGCTTGTAGACTGGAAAATGTGTCCGTTCGCTCATCTCTCCTATTTGTGGCGACGTTCAGAAGATTTGTTTTCAGTATCTGACCAAGTCACACTCAGTCGAGTTCCCGGTTGTGAGGATATCCCTGCTGCTGTGGATGAAGACAAGGTACCTGTGCAAGATATACCCGAAGGTGCGCGTTTATTTTCGCTTGCATCTGTTAAACTTCCCTTTTTTTTTTTCAAGATATGAATGTGACGCTCATCACTGCGCCACAGTTGCCAAACGACCCGAGAACTCCCACTCGCCCACCTCCTACCCATCAGTCTCGCAGCGAGCCTCCGAAGTTGTCCGTTGACTTTAGTAAACCAAATTCGTTGATATATGGTAAACTTCTAGGAGTAGTCGTCGACGATTATTCGACAAGGAGTTACCTCATAACGATCACCCTCTTCTTTTTATGAATGCGGAGGAATGGTCCCCGGCTAAAATTCGACGCATCCGTCCGGAATTTTTCAGGTGATCTGTCGTGACTAATTGTGGTCCACTGTATATTTCTAATTCTTTGTAGGCGTCAACTGGACGGTCGCTGGGATTTTAATCGGACTGTTGCACAAGAGAAGACCAAAAATAAACTAACAATCATCTACGAAACGGTAAATTTATCCTCATTTTTTGTTCCTATTCTAGATTTTCTGATTTCTTACTTCCAAGATGTCTTTCTGAGATCATCGATAATGGATCATGTAGGTCTAACCGAGAAGAAGCAGTTTGCGCTGATTAGCTAGATGTCTTTTTTTTCGAAGAAAAATTAATCTTTTAACATGTTTGCGGTTATTGTTGTACTAAATGAAGGTAACGGAAAGGTTGGATTTAGATCCTCAAGTCCGTATATGACGCACATTACGCTCAAGACGACACTGAGGCACTCTTGCAGGTTGGTACTAATTCACCAGACGTTTCTGACGAGTGTCAAACGATTTTTTTTCTGATAGGGTTCCTTCATACTACGCCGCGCACGTCGCGTACGCCACGTACGCCGCGTACGCCACCTACGCCGCGTACGCCACCTACGCCGCGTACGCCACCTACGCCGCGTACGCCGCTGCAGCGCAGTGGAAATACGCTCACGGCAGCAAAGCTCCACTTTTTTGATGTATATCTATAATTGCTTATTAATACGAGCGTCCCTTCATCATTTATTTCTTTACAGTTTTGACCCCAGATACGTTAACATTGTGAATTGTGAAGTCAGCGCCGAAACTTGAATGATGTTTTGTGAGCGAAGAAAACAAACTGCGGCAACAACGGCGCATCAAATTTGCAATGCAATCTAAAGTACGAAAAAGAGAAATCCTTTTCATCCAGTGATGTGTTTGTAAGGAGATGTTAACAGCGCAAATATACAACCAGATACAACATACAACCATACAACCATATACTACCAATATAAAACCAGATGACGCAGTTTGCAGTCAGTTACGATACAATATGTGAAACTCAAAAGTAGAGGAAGCACAACAACCTAAGCCATTCCATCAATCATTGATATAGACAAAGGGATAGACAGGATAAACAAAGCAAAAGAGAGGAAGAAATGCATAATGTGAAGAAACACTATTGAGGGACATGAATGTGCAGCAAATATAGATATACATTTAAAAAAATGGAGCTCTGCTGCCGTGAGCATATTTCCATTGCGCTGCAGCGGCGTACGCGGCGTACGTGGCGTACGCGGCGTAGTATGAAGAAACCCATAATAATTCAATGGAGTGTGCGAAGCATGATTTGTGACACTCAGAAATCGTCGGTCCAATGCACTTTTTCTTTAGGTTTGTCTTGCATATGGAAAGGAGTTTTTGGACTATGCGGACAATAAAGCTGCTGATTTTCCATTCTGACTTTTTTGGTGACATCTTTGATCTGCTGAGTTCAACCTCAGCCGATTCTGTTTTATCCATTAACCTCGGTGCACTCACACATCTTCTTCACAGTTATCCTCTCGGTTATTGCAATCACATTACAATTTTTGCATTATCTCTTACTGGTGGTGAGAATTATTTTTTTTTTGAAGGAGGGAGCGGCAGACGGGGGTGTGGCGGGGTGTTTTCCATGCCCTCCGAATTTTTTCTTGGGTTTGCTAAGCTTACGGCCCTAAATTGAGAATAACGGCAGCCACTCCCTCGAAAAAAAAAATTCTTCACAAGAAAATCCTTACAATTCTAAGCTATCATTGCATGAACATACTTGACTCTTACAACTCAAAGCCATTATCACTTCTTTCCTGCATCATTGTCACTTTGATATGGATTTTCATGTTTTCAAAATTTTCGTATATAAGATACTTCATCTATTAGAAAGTCCTCCAACTTTGAAACGTAATTCGAAATATCGCTGGTTTCAAAAACCTTTTCCACTTGCTTCACTTCATTTTGATCACTAATCCTTGCATGTACATACACTGATCTGAAATGAGCTCTGGAAGCATAATTCATACAGGCTCAGCCATTTTTACTTTCTGCTGTTTTATCATCATCCTCTTATCTCATCTGATGCGATCATGATCATGAGTGTTCGACAGTGTCAAAACATTCCTTCACAACATTTTTTAAGGCTTTATATCTTGGTCATTTTATTCATAACAACATTGACAATGAACTTTTTAACTATTGTTTATTACTCTTACTGAAGAATAGTGTTATAAAAACAAAACCTTCAACATAATTAAAAATAAAGAAAATGCTATCCCTCTTTATCTGTCCATTTATCAAATCTTCGCCTTCACTGAGCTCTACACCTTCTCCAAAGCGTATGTTTACTACTTTCCTTGGGTTGCGTTCAGATCCCTTCGAGCTATGCCACTACCGCGCAATCCCCCTCCCCCCCTATGTCGGTGCGTTGAGAGCAGCAGTCTTCAACCATGACAGTCATGTATGGTGCATCCCCCAAAATTGTTCCCATATAAAACATCAGTTGTCTTTCGATCATTCTAACATGTTAGATAATACGAATACGCGCCTCATCCTGGAGCTAACGCGTTGCGATCGAAAGGCAACCACGTTGAAGTTTCATATGGGAACAATTCTGGGGGATGCACGATATACTGCATTCATAGATTCGTGACGGGGGATTCGACTGAATCGGGGGCAGCCAACATGAACGATAGCTTGCGCCAGCCACATGCGTTGCGTAGGTTAAATTTTGCTTAAATTCTATTTCTACGCTTTGGTGATACCGAAAAATGTGAAAAATAAAACGCCTGGAAGCTCAGTGCCCTGATCTTTTGTATTCGATCCCATTTTCGATCCAGCGAAGAATATATTGTTTCAAAAAGGACGTCTACATGCGCGGCATATTGACAACCGTAGGACTACAGTATGCTTAATTGCAGCTATCATTCATCTTGGCACACACCCGACTGAATCCGATTTTGTACCGATCTTAGAGCGGGACGATGAAATCGCGTGATGTATGCCCGGCCCCAAGTTCGGAACAAAACCGGGCTCTCGCGTAAGACTACCTTTTTAGTCCCATAGTTTTGAGTCCTGCAAGACTTTTGCGAGACTCAACCACGAATGTCTAAGCACTAATGACGGAATTTCCTTGGTAATAAGTTTTCTATTCGAGCTACCAAATTCAAAAAGAGCAAAAACTAGAGCCGGCGACAATGAGGATATGAACGTGGGAACAATATATCAACCACATTTGAGCATATATAGATGAAATGGTCTGTTCGAAAGCCAAACCAACATTTGACTTGCCATTTTGGGAGGGGGGGGGGGGAAGGGATCTCGCAGATCCGCTAGTCTTGAAAAAAGGGGCGATTGGAATTTGATTTCTATGTTCTTGAAAAGACCTGTATGCATATCGATCGGGGGGGGGGTGAGGGGGGGGATTGGGGGCGACAAAAATTTATTCGATTGAAAGTTCCCAATTTTTGGGTTGCTTCTAATAATCTATGCATGCCCATAACCCAGAAATCTCCCCGAAAAGTTTTTTATAGGGCTAATTTGTATTTATAAAAATTTTCAGAATTATTACAGTTATTTACAAGTAAAAGCAAGTCGCTTGCACATTTGTATAACAAACTAGATGGCTTACCCGGCTCCGCCCGGCCCTGTCATTATTTTATTCGTAATCAGCATGCTCGATTACCCCCCCCCCCCTGTACCAACTCCCAACCCCGTAGCTCAAATTTTGCAAAAAAAATCGATAAAATCGATATCGATCGATGACGAAAAGTAACCTATGACACCCGCCGGGGCCCGAAGTGTATGTGTGCCAAGTTTGGTCCGGATCGGTTCAGAAATGGAATTTTCTATTCGGAACATACGTACAGACATACAGACATACAGACAGACAGACAGACAGACAGACAGACAGACAGACAGACAGACAAACAGACATTCAGCTTTATAGATGTAAGTAACTTCCAAAAATTTCGCGATCCATTTTCGGGGGGGGGGGGGTGCCTCCCGCAGTTCAAATAGCGGCTCACATCTGAAGGGCTTACTGTAACATTATCTTGAAAGACCTCCCATAAACGCTTCAGGATCTTGTTAGCAGTATTTCGTGAATGTCCTCATCGAACAATGAAGGTGATCACAATGTGTGTAGACATGCCATCCGCTTTCAGACAGAAACATCTTCCACTGTTTCTTCCGCTACTCGCAGTCACCTCCGGCTATAAATATTGGTCCCGAATACATGCAAAGTTTTGGCTTGAAGTATTCTTCTTGAAGAACTTACACAGTTTATATTGTGATTGATGCAAATTCGTTTTTGCCTTCATTCAAAGTTACGAAACATTTCTTCGTCTTGTACAATCGTCGACATGTGCTTTACAAGTCTTTCGTTGGCCATGTCATCGCAAAGGGTGCATGTGTATCTCACCATGACGACGTAAAGGTGACAGCTTTCAATATCGTCGATTCATGACACGCAAAGACTGAGCGCCATTGCGTTCGACGAAGGTAGTTTGTGCTTAGGAGAGACAGCAGAGCTAAGAGAAACGAAAAAGCGCTCGATCACGAAGACACCGATATATCCGCAGTTTCTGCGTGCTATGAATCGCCTATACCTCAACGTTCCTCAAGCTACCTCAATGTTAGTGTAACGTATTAGCGGCTTGGCTCCCTGCGACCGCATCGCTTTGCGAGGTGCCCCAAACCAACCCAGTTGGTTTGATGATGGTCTAGAAACCAACAAATTCGGGAACGGTATTTTTACATAGCGTAGTTTGGAATGATATTCCATACATAGCCTAACTATAGCCTAACTTCGGTGCCATGTGATTGCTTGTGCACTGTAAGTCATTGATTTATCTGAGCATCATCAAGACTTTGACGCGCTTGATGTGAAAGAACACGTTAGAGCATGTCACTCATGTACAAACTTGATGGTTAGCATGTCTGTAAAACTTATCTACAGGCCCCGTAAAATCTAATTGCCCACGCGTCGCTTTGAACACCAACGCGCGGCGCGGCTAGAAACCTTTGGTCCCGAAGCGCTACAGGCTTTTTGCGAGCAACAATGAGCGCGCACCCCTTCCACACATATTTTTTAACACGTTGACGACCGTGTGCATCCGCGCGTATGCACGCCCTGACCACCTTTGAGCACTTTCATGCATCAATTTATCATGTGTAAACGGAAAGTTTTCAGGTAACTTTTATGCAGTGATAACAATGGTGGCCTGGTTGTCATATAGAACACACGGCATTGCGGTAGCTGTTGAACAGTCTAAACCGCAGCCGTAGATCATCAGTCCATTTTGATGTGGTCAAAAACGGCTTGGTCGTCAACGTGTTAAACTTTTGAAGGGAGCTTTCGTCAAGATATACCTTGCATTGACGAGAACAACATGAAAGCTAAAGAAAGATTTCTTGGAATTTAGTGAACGCCGACAGTAATTCGCGACGACCGCTCGGTTATGCTGGTGTTCAAGGCACGGCGCGGGCAATTAGGTTTTACTGCGCCTATATATGTTTAGCAGATTTTAACTCCCTTTGCTTTGAAGGCAGTGTCTGGGCAGTTTTTGCATTTCCATATTTTTGCATGTTTTGGGCCTTTTCGACCCGTAAACTCCGAATCTGTGCTTTGAAACGGATGAAAGGCCTTTTTCGGGGCGTTTACCCAGTTTCCAAAATGCAGCACAAGAGTTTCAATGGAAAGTTGGGAGGCCTTGGTACGAAGACCCTGCTGTCTGCAATTTTTGCTTTGGACAGCATGAATGCGGGACAGCGGTCGTTGGGTCCCGCGCGGTAAGCGAAGTTGTCAAGCACGCCGATTGGGGTACCCTCCGGTTCAAGGGCTACTTTCTCGGCCCAGGGGGAAGACGAAGCAGTCGAACTGCGTCTGGAGGCTAGTGGGATGACCAGGAATCCCACCATAGCAATGTCTCCCAGAGTGCAATCTGCCGGGACACTGCCTTTAGAGGCCAATCTGCCGGGATACTGCCGTTAGAGGCAGTGTCCGGGCAAAACTCGATTTCCCCATTCCCGTTCCTTTTTCTTGCTTTAGGTCGGATGCTATAACCTCCTACCTGCACAATGCTGTTTGAGGGGGACCACATTCGCATGGCACTGAAGCAAAACCCCACCTTGTCCGGACACTGCCTTCAACCCCGAAAACGGTGTCGGAAGCTGGGCACGCAGGTCGCAAATCTTTTCTCCCCTTGCTTTGCTTACAAAAGCCGCCGCGAAGTGTCTCGCGTGCGGTGGTCCGGTATGGAAAGTGTGGCCTACACCCGGGCTGCACGGGATTGTACTGTTGGGTCTCAGGGAACCAGCCATGGCTGCAGCTATGCCCGAGCACTGCGCAGCCACACTGCTCATACTGTATAAGGCATTGCCAGATTGTGGCAGTCTCATCGACAACTATCATCACTTAGCCAAAGATCTAAACTCTTCACTTCTTCGCGCTTTTCTGAAATTACGTCTCAAAAAAACCACCCAGAGACCCTGGTGCAAATACGCATGAATAACAGCGTCTCTATGGGTATGGCTGAGTAAGCTGATTCGGAAGTTTCGGAACAGTTCCAGCATAGTTCTCAAACTGTGCCGGAACTGTTGCGGAGCTTCCAGGCCAGTATGAACCCAGCCTTAGATGACGACCAGGATTGCAAATGGGTAGAAATGATGAGAGGAGCGGAAAAAGAGAAGGAAAGCTTAGTCCATGCTGAGTTTTGAGATCAGTAAATAATCTTTGTTGTCGAGACGCAGACTAATTAGAGTCCGACAGTCCCCTCGCCGACTTGGGCGGTGCCACCAACTTTAGATGAGCTGGCACTCCCCGGGTGCTCGGTGGTCCCCTCCCCAATTATGTTCCCCCACTTTGAATCTATAATGTCATAACGATAAAGAATCTAGTCAGAACTGTTATGTTAGTGCAAAGGAAAGAAACTAAGGGTAGAGGGATCAAGTTAAGAGAATAGCTAACTCTTCAACTTGACATGGAGGTCCCGGGTTTTTCTGAACTTTTGTCGCATAAATTTTTTTACTAAAAAAATCTAAGCATAGATTAGGCCAATCTCTGCTGAATACTCTCACCACCGGCACCAGTCCTCATCTCCTACGTGAATTACGTAGCCCCTTTCTATATGTACCCTTTCTTTTCTCTTTTCCCTTGAGTCCAGGCGATGGGTCTGAGTGTGTTTTCTTATTTTGTCATATTTTTTTGTGTCATAGTAGGTAATGAATATAATCATGTATTCTTTACCTACTGTGTATTTGACAGTCTTTTTTTTGTTTCATAGCAGATAATCAATATATTACTATATTGAATGTGGTAGATGGTATTTTTTATCTGCTGTGTTTCCCTACAGTTTTTACCGTGATACCACGTGAAGAACCGTAAATATTTACTCTTTCTTCCTCTAGCCCCCTTTCCCCACCCTATTTATTTAGAAACAAATCTAAAACTTTCTTTTTTTCAAAACATATTTTACCTTGTAAATTCCACATTTTCTCTTTCATAATCTATTATCTTTCCAAAACATGTAAAATTCATTTTCACAACCATTTTCCACCATATTTCGCCTACAACTTTACACATTATTTTCAATCATTTATTTTCTTCTTCCTCACTTTCCATCGTTTATTTTTACACAAACTCAGGGACTCTATCGCCAACGCCGGCACTGTACATATGTATAAAATTTTTTTATAATTGTGTTTAATTACCATAGCCGTTTTGTATTTGCCGCAAATTCCACAGGCGATCTAGACGCCTGTGGATAGTCCGTAGGCTATGTTGCCTATAGTGATTCCATAGGCTATGTGATAGCTCATGGGGTTTACCAGAGGCCCTTTTCCCAGTCACGCCGATTGAGAGCGTCATTATCTAATCTTGAGTGGCATTAGGCGCCAGGAGCTGTCCTAAGCTCGGCGGAATCCCTTTCAAGCAGTAATGCAATACTGCCTAGTTGTGCTTAGGTCAGTTTCACCTAATTACTTATTTATAAAATGCAGCTGTGGACTAGATGATTCTCGACTACTGGAACGAGTTGGATATTTACTGATCATCTTTATCCAACTTCGTCACAGAGGTATCCGTTTCTTAGTTTTCAGTGTTTCATTACACTGTAATCATAACAATTTTGTGCAATTTTGTATTTATCAATGTACTGCTAACCAAAAAAAAACAAAAAAAAAGAATCATTCGTTTTATGTTTGCAAAACAGATTTCCTGGAAAGGTTCCAGCTTTATTTCAGACGTTCAGGGCGTATGAGAAAAAAAAATGGAATGATTCTCGCTAGAGAACATAACGTGTCATTAGCAATACTAATCATCTTTTCTCTTTACGCAGCAGCTAGTGACACTTGTAAGTTTGCCCGCAAGCAGCACTATGAAAAGAAAGAATTCTCCGATTGGCGGCTCGGAGAAGGCTTCCAGTAAATCACTTTTCACCCACGCCCTTGTAATCAACGTTAGGGAAGTGTTCCCTCCTGAGTTGCTTGCAAGTTATTAAAAATTTGTCAAATTATTGTAGAATTATTTGTCCATATCATAACTTATCATGCTCTGTAACGACAAATGTTCGGAATATAGATTCCGTTCCTTCGTCGTCTTCAAACATAATTCATTTTGCTATTTGCTGTCAATTTATGTATTATTCCATGCGTATTCCATGCTCGTAATCTCATTTTCTACAGCACTGCTCATTATTTCTTTACGAATGTCATCATATTCCCGTATGTCACATTTCGTCACCAGTGCGGTCTTTGTCCGCCTCCTTATACCCTCTGGAACATTTTACCACCCTGCGGAAGTCCCTATCCGCCTCCCCAAACGACTACGGAAGCCTCATCCGTACCCCGATTTGCTCATCATTTGAATCATCTCATCATTCGTTCATGTTGCTCCAATTCTTCAGCTCGAGACGAGCTCATTCTTCTGACAGGGCGTGCGAAAGCGTGCCTTCTCATCCCTTTTCCCCCTGTCCTTGTGAAGAAAAATCCAGCGACTAACGCCTGAAGCAAGTCTGCCCTCAACCAAAGCAGCAAATGGTAAATGGGCAACATCAACTACACGTATGGGCAACGTCAACTGTGCATATGGGCAACGTCCAACTCAATGATGACATCGCAACCATGCATATGGGCAACTCCCCAGCGAAGCCACTGATGACAACTCAACAACCATGGCCAACCTCAAAAGCTCGAGGACGAGCTTTGCCATGGAACGGACATGTCGAGACGCAGACTAATTAGAGTCCGACAGTCCCCTCGCCGACTTGGGCGGTGCCACCAACTTCAGATGAGGTGGCATTCCCCGGGTGCTCGGTGGTCCCCTCCCCAATTATGTTCCCCCACTTTGAATCTATAATGTCATAACGATAAAGAATCTAGTCAGAACTGTTATCTTAGTGCAAAGGAAAGAAACTAAGGGTAGAGGGATCAAGTTAAGAGAATAGCTAACTCTTCAACTTGACATTGTAGTGCGTACGCAGCACCTTCAAAAGGCAGGCTGTCGGCCAAGAACATTCTTTTTGAGCATTGCAAGCTCCCTCTCCTCAAATTATTACCCTAATTTAACGCATATAAGGCGCACTTTTCGAAATTTCAAGCGAGACACTCAGCCGCTTCACTTTATTGCGGAAAGAAATCCTTACATCGCACGGTTCTCTACTCTAAAGCAATAGACAGCACGTTATAGGGTCCTTCGGTTGTAAAGTCCTTTGGCGTGTCTGAGATGGTTGATTTTGGAAAAAAAAAAACCCCCGCGCCTTATACGCGTGAAATTAGGGTACTTATATCTAAGTATCGTAGAGTCTCCTGCTACATTTGCGGTTTTCTACAGACTTACTGGGTTCTCAATTTACTTTGAGATGCTTGTAAGTCAGGTCAGCATGAGTATATGGTGTATGAGCATACCAGCATCCTGGAACTAAAAGAATCGAAACCGCTCTGCACTGTTTCTGCATGGGTAAAAAGTGGACAAGTTTGTGCTTGTAATCTATTTCATCTAGCATTATTCACTAAAACGGGTTCGATTCTTTTAGAATACATGCCTAAGTAGAAGTTCAGCTTTGAAAACTTCCAGATCGAGTGCTTTGTCTGCGCCGGCTGGACCCGTCATCTGTTCCGCGTCGCATGCGCTGAACGCGTTGCATCGTTCAAGGCCAGGCGACACGTCGAAGCGAAGTGCTTCGAACGTGTGCCAGTTGTCGTGTCGTGGTGATGACGCCTTTCGTACCGATTCCAGCCATCTTTGCCCCATCACAACAACGCGGTCATGACATTGCCGTCTACATCTTCCCGCATGATCATGCGCTATGCTACGAGTTCTTCTACCATTGCCGAAGTGCAGATGCCGTTACGGAAACATATCTTTGCTGCGGATGTAAAGCGCTACGAACCCGTGATAACAAGCTGTACAGTCAACCGATTCCATCGGTGAAGTTGAGGGCAAGGTTTTTCATCACCGACCCTGTGAACCCGAATCGACCACATTATTGTATGCCAAGGAGTACACCGCAGGCAACAACTCGACGTCTCATTATTGAAAGGTGCAATGAATTACGAGCTGGACCTTGTCAGAAACCTACAAAGAATGTCGTCGATGAATTGCTGTCGGATATTACATCGCAGAAGTTTGGTGAGTTTCTTTTTGATATTTCTATCAGTGTGTTTGGTTTACAAGACAGAAAGCTCGCATCGTTTCGATATGTGCCTCTAATCATTAGCTTAATTATGCGAATTTACTGCGAGTTAGATTGCTAATCAACATAATTCAAACTTGACCGGAAATTCATCTGAGTAATCGAGGAACGAAGCTCCTGCTGCGCTTTGTGGAAAGTGCTGCGGAAGTTTTCGGTTTCTCAGTGTGGCAAATTTCTGAAGAAGGTTCATAATTTCGACAAAATTCTTTGAGCGAACAAAACGCTACGGAACCGCTGCAGATCTTCCTTTTCTCGCCGAAGTTCTCGTGTTTTGTCTGAGCTTGAGCAAGACTAAAATCTGCTATATGACAATTAGGCTACCTTCAAGTGTATTTTGTTGTAATAAGGGAGACAGAAATTTTTGGAGACGTATGTGGGTAAGAGTGTCATGCATCATTCCATCTCTTGTGAAAATGAAAAAAAACTTTCGGTAAATTATGTTTTTTACTGACTTTGATGATGCATTAGCAAAATCATTTTTTGAGAGCAAGCAGAACTACATATGTTTGTTTTTAGATACATTTCCAATGCCGGAAAGACGTGTCATGGTCGAACAGATAGCTTCACCCTATGGAAATGCCAGGGAGAATCTCCGTCGAACCTTGCAGCGAAATCAACAGAAAGGTCTAAATCCACAGCCGAATAGACCACGCTTGACAGTAAGTATCCAGTACAATATGGTAAATGCTTCTGAGATATCGCGAAACTGCCCATTTTTTCTAGGGAAAAACGAGGAAACGGAAACCTGAAATCAAAACCGAGATTATCACCGAAAATGAGCAGTCTATCGATGGCATTGCGGTGATTAAACCAGCTGCAGAGTTGGCGAGAAAGAAGTACGATTCACTTTATTTTTCAGCTTCATACATTGTCCTTAACCTGTGTCAAGATGGTCTGTTCAGGCTAAGTTGCTCTGAACCCATTCGCACACTTGTTTTTATGGATTTGGCCACCACTGGGATGTTTGCCGGATATAACGAGTCTCAAAAACGTTTTGACCCGAACATCTTGAGTCAGCCGGAAATGTGTACGAACGCTCTCAACCGCCTCATAATGGAAAGTATGTGTCTAACAAACATCAACTTTCAACAGTTCTTATCCGTTTTTCCCATTTTAGCAGAGGAAGATGATTATCCGCGTATCACCGAGATGTCCTTTTTGAGCATTCCTCGTGATATATTTACTCGCGGTCAAAAAACCATCCAAAGCTTGTGTCAAGAGGTAAGCGGTGAGAATCTACTGGTTTATTTTTTGTTGAAGAAAAATAAACTGTATTTTGCACCATTTTATTGTGAAAGAAGGATAAGAAAGGACATGTTTAGGCTCCAGATAAATCATTTGTACTTCGGCTTGCTGCAAATGTTCGAACATGTCAGGTGAATCCTGATCTGAATGAGATTCAGTGGAAAAAATACCAGAATGTCACAGCCAGTGATAGTGGAGGTATACGCAACTTATTCACTCTTATGGTTCTCAAAAGAATCGACTTCTTACCTCTCTGTGCTTAGTAACCTAGTTTTAGCTTGCAATTTAGTGAAGTTGATATGGGGGGAGTATCTTTTCATAGAGTCCATGCTCTCAATTTCGACGTTTTCAGTCGTTCCTCGTCCCCGCCATGATCTCGAAGCGAAACGTAGTTTTTATGACGAATGGCCTGCTATATGGTCATTTCTGGATGACAGCCCAAAGCCCGTTTGTTTAGGTAAGTCTGTGATCACATATTTTCTTGTCTTTTGCAGCGCCATTTTGGAGTTGTTCCTTCCTCTGTTTCTATTTTCTTCTCCGTTTAGTCGCTCACAATGGTATCTTTTTTGATTATCGAGTTCTCTACGGTGAACTGATGCGATTTGGGTTTATAGATAAAGGAATGGGTATTCCCAAAGGGGTATGTTTGTAAGAATCATTTATGGTCTCTCGCAACGTTTCCTTCCATCTGCAGGTCGTTTTCGTTGACTCCGTTCTAGCTATTCGAGAGATTGAAGGCATGTATATCAAAGAAGTATGCGAAGCCACTAAAGAACTCGCAGCTCAAAGACGTAATCCTTGTTGAATATGACATGGACCATATTATACTTATAAGATCGTTTAGCTCTCCGAGAAGTTGCTGCTTATGAGGTCATAACTGCGGAGAACAATGAGGACTGCACTCCCGGACCCAGTTCAGGTACTAGGGAAGACCGCAAACTTTGTTTTCAAGTGTTGTATTGACCAAATGTTCTACATTATTCGGAATATTTTAGAATTCAAAACGGAGCCTGTCTCCGCTATGTCTGCTACATCGGAAAAAACAGCTCCCGCCGCACCTGAAAATAATTCAAACAGGTAAGCACCGTCTATTCTGTCAATGTCACTTTTTTATTTATTTTTTGCTTCTATGCTTTTTGGTCGTAGCTCTCATTTGCCTTTTTTGTATGCTCCTCAAGCTCATTTGAGCAACCACCTTTGTTTTTTTTTTCAACCTCTGCCTTAGCCAACCGAAAACCGTTTAGTGAGCCAACGAAATCTCAAAACCAACCCTACGACGAACACCCTCTGAGCGTTTTTGATATCCAGAATTGGCCTGCCGCGAAGATGAGAAGAATTCGCCCTGAGTTTTTCAAGTAGGTTATTTTTGATGATGAGTAGTCCAATTGAGTGAATATTTATTGGCAGGCAAAACATGCATGGAGTTTGGGAATTTAACACCGTTTTCGCAAAAAATGCACTGATGATACATGATGATTTAGCTGGTCTTTTTGAAACAGTGAGTTTTACACAACTCGTAAGGTTTTGTTGTCTTGCATTTGCCTTTTTTCACTGGATCAATATTAAGGTAGTCAAGACTCAGTATGGGGCACATTTCACTCAAGACGACGCTGAAGCTTTGGTTCAGGTTTGTTGAACCCATAACTCTTCTTGTTATTGTCTTTGTGTTACAGCTGAGCTGAACCTGATCTTCTCAGGTTTTCGAGTTTGTCATAATTTGTCAAAATTTAAACATTTAGATATGTGTGGCTTATGGAGAAGCTTTTCAAGATTATGTGGACTACAAAGCTGCGTACTTCCCTTTCTGAGCAGCTGCGTGTCTATTCTGCTGCCTCCTCCACATTGATGGCTGGCGAAATATGTAATTCCATTTGCTCAGATCTCATTTCTTACATTTCCTTTTTTGAAGCTCTGTCAACTTATGGAAGAATTTATAAAATTTGCCTTACATTTATGCTCACATTGTTGTAACTTATGTTTTCTGACGTGTATCAATTATTTGCCGAATGTTATATCAATCAATTGTTAATCAGATCAGATATAAATATTGATTATGGTTATGATTATTGATATATGCTCGGTGATGTTTTATTAGTAGGATTGATCTACCTAATGCTGTTACGTCGATGTGTTGTTCCACGCAGATCAAGTTCATTTTGTGCACAGAATGACGAGCACTTTCCGAATGACAAAGAAAAAAGAGGTTGTTGTCAAGGAAAAGAACACGATCATGGCAGCTTTCAAAAGGCAAGAGCAGAAAAAGGTGAATAAGTTGTTTAATGGAATAGCATTATGTGTAGTCAAAAGCTTGGGAGGCGTCAGCTCATCGGTATATATGTAACCATATTTTTTAGATCTTCTTTAGATAGACCGTTCGGTCCTCCTTGTTTTTATCTTATTATTGGTGAAGATGTCCAGAAAATTCTCTATCAGCCTCATGAAAGCGGGGTACATTATTTTTCTACGACAACCGCTCAGTCAAAGTTTTCAGACATGTCCGCTGTGCAAGGAATCTATCCTTCTTACTCTCTACAGAGCACATATGGACAAATGCCAACTCACTGGTAACGATGATGATTGTGAGGTTCTCCGAAAAGTATCGTTAAAGTTGGCTGTTTATATCACTATACTTAGCAGATCATCCAAGTCCTGTCGGCAGAGGAAGGACGAGCTCTGCGGGCCGGCTCGCCGATTGTAATCGACGCTGAGGACTCGCAGAAGAATCTCACCCCGTCAACGGATAATGTCAGTCAAGGTAATTGCACAGTAAGCTTCTCGACATGGAACTTTATGTGTCAGCTTAGTGATAGCAAACAGATGTTTGCAGAATCTGGTAGAAAACGTAGGAGTGGGAGGATTGTAACCGAGAGCGAATCAGCTGAAGAAGTAAAGATGGTGAAAATTGAGCCCTCCACACCAACACCGATAGAACCAGAGTAAGTCACGGTCTTCCCGCCAGAATTTTTTGGAACACTGTATTTGAGAAATCGACCACCCGATGCAAAGAGGCTCAGTGAACCAGAGAAAACTGCGCAGGTCACTACTGTTAAGAGAACGAAAAGGTGTGGACAAGCTTTTCATGGAACGTTCAAGAAGGTGATTTTTTAGGATTACCGCGTGCGTCTCTTCTCCACTGCTAGAGCAGAAACCAAGTACGTCAGCAGATGAGCCTATACGTCTACCTTCTCCTGAACCCCTCAATCTAGTCACAGCCGATGAGATTGTAAAAAAGACTGAGGTTTGATCCTTTGTTTGCATAGCCAACCACGGTTAAGTACGGTTTTCAGGCTATTTTAAATACGTTCATGCTGTCACCACGGAAGAAACTCGGTTCGCAAGAAAATTCTGAAGACACACTATCTACAGATTCCCGAAGGACACCTTATATAGTGAAATTCGCATTGCTCATATTGCGTAGAGTATGTGAATTTTTGATTAATTTAGGGATTGAACTTTTTTAGCTAATGTTATAGGTTATGATGACATTGAAGTCGGATGGAGGACGATACGACGAGAAGTTTTGGGGGAAGCATATGAGGACATTTGACAGGTATGTGACTACTCTTTGCTTCTATTAGTTCATCACTTTAAACATACTTTTGCAAAATTTCGGATATCTTACTGCACGCGTAGTTCACTACATCTCTTGCTTCATATATGCTGAGCCAAGGTAGCATTGTGCACATTTTTTATTTAATACCTTTTCTTAACATGAACAAAAATTTAGTGTTATGTAAAATGGTACGCTCTGTCATGCTCTCGTGCTTGTTATAATCATTCTAAGGTCCTTCTCGATTTCAGATTCCTCAATCTCTCGAAGGCTGCACGAGAGCTTTTCATGCGATTGCATTTGCGAAAATCATGGTGGCTAACAATAGAAAAGTTGCGCGAAAGGTATGTTTTGAGAGTTCAGAAGCAATGCAGTTTTGACTAATTCATTATTTTGAAGATATGCCGAGCTATCATTAACTATGGATGAATCATTGAAAGAGCTGGTTGATATCGGCTTTGTCGATAGTGACAGACATCTGTCAGATCTTGAAGAAGTTTTGCAAATAGCACCTCTCCCTATCTTAAAGGTTGTTGCGAAGAAGTATCAGATAGATATTACCAAGGTAAGAGTTTCAATCAATAACTCATCTGAATTGTTTGACTACCTGAACTCAATGTAGGGCAAGATTGAGCTTATCACAACTTTAAAGACCTTCTCCGCAAAGCAAAAGGGTCTTTTCGGCCAGACGAGTTCGGTAGCAGTGGCCATGGCGAAAACGTGAGCGTACCTAGATTTTACTTCTGCCTAGTTCCAATATGTTGCTACTTACAGGGTGAAGAAGGAGCTGGGTGCTTGCTACCGCATTAATAGAAACATCAGTATGATTTTTAAGGTTAGGGAGCTTTTCGGAGCCTTTTTATTTTAAATTTTGGTAATTGGTTTTCTGTTGTCTGTTGTATTTTCGCAGATCATTTTTTGTTCCGGAAAACACAACTTTGCATGAGTCGGAACATTTTCTCTGCTCTGAGATTGAGTAGGAGACTGAGAAGAGATCTTGATTTCAGGCCTTGTTTACACTATATGCGCCCACGGAAATGTGCTCTTCACTGGTAATTGACCAACCTAGTCTGAACTTATCCCAGAATTTGCTGTGAGTCCCTTTTCTTTCGAATAAATTGTTTATTTTCTATCGGAATTGATCTCACCACGCACGTTTTCTGCTCATAGTGCTTGTCTATAAAAAAGAATCAATCTCATGGTTTGTATAGTTGAAGTATCCTGTACAAGTGTGCAGCATCACCTTATAGTGGCTTCATGTCCGGCGTAACGAAAGTCTAAGTATTGCCTGAAAATCATGATTCTGATTACGATCCTTGACGCAAAAGCAGTGTGAACGGCTGTTTTTACGTTCAGCTTTTTTAAGGTACACTCTGCTACGAATGGACCAGGGAGCTGTGCAGTTTCCTGCTCCAAATCCCTGCCAACATATCTTGTCCATTTATGACAACAAAGAGGAGCTCATGGAGTATGTAAAAATTTACGCTTTCCCTCTATAACAAAAATTCTTGCGCTCTGAGTAGGATCTAAATCTTTCTATGAGCAACAGCCATTGTTGCAGCTTGATTAAGGCGCAATGCAGCTCCAACAATGTTATTGAAAACTTTTCAGATACGTAGAAGCGAAGGAATTAGAGACTGAACTTGTTTTTCTGATGAGCACTGGCAAACTTGATGGAGCCTATGAGTGCGCCTTCAAAGCGCGAGAAAGGTTATTGGGTCTCAGCGAAGAGAGGTGCGGTTTTAGCTTCTTTGCAATGTATTCGGTCTCTCAAATGTAACAATTCTAGTCGATCTAGAGCTGCAGATTTGTCCATATCTTTGCGACGTTACACAGCTTTCGCTGTGTTAATTAGATGCATCGCGCATGGTGCGGGAGTTTTGGAACGTCAAAAGAAATACGCTACGGCGATCAGCTGGCAGAGATTTTTGCTCAAAACACCAGGTAAGTTAACAATGGGAGCATAGAATGTATTAGCATATCAATGGCGGCCCGAAAAAATTTTCTAGGGAGAGCGGCACATTTTTCGAATAGGGCATGGCTAGGGCTCGGTATTCGGAATTTTGGTATGCTCTCTAAACTTTCAATCAACGTGAAACTCCCAAATTTACAGAAAGGCTCAAACCGCAAAAATTTTTTTGCCAAGCTAACTTAATTTTTAAAATTTTTTGGAATGTTATGTAGATTATCTACGACTCACTTGCACAATCTAACTAAAGTAAACTACTTTCAAAAAATGCCCAACTCATGCTCGGGGGCGACCCTCCTCCCCCTCCCCTCTTGGTTCGCCACTGAAGCATATATCAATGTTGTGTACAAGTTTATATGGCAAACTTAGAGCTCAAACCGTTCTGCACAAATGCGAGAGGCGCTTGGTGGGATCGCCTCGCACTCAATCTGGACGCTCATATGAAGGAGAGAGAGGAGGCACTGCAAGAAATACGAGAAGGAATGGATGATGACGCGGTAGCGGACAAGGACAAGCTGATGCTACAGGTTGAAAGCTCATCCAAAGCGCTTGAATGTCCTAACCTATCGTTTCAGGATCGAGCCATTCGCATTTCAAATGGTGATTTCCTCGAGAGAATCGTGATTATGAACCCTATCAAGGTTAGTAGATCATAGTTTTCATTCATCAAAATGTTTTATGTAGTCTGGTAATCTAGAAAGAAATTCTTGGAACGACCCTCGCAAAAGAGTTGGGCGACTCAAAAATCAATCGTTTTGTCGTGAAAGATGACGTTGACTTCGCGGAATGTAGCGTTGAAGAAATAGTGCGAAGACACTACCTGGCAAAGGAAGGATTCAACAATGGTGAGTCTCATTCACTGGCTTTGTTTTTTTACTATCAATAGGAATTTATCTAGGTGTTCACGCAGAAGGATCAATCTGGCATACCATCTTGGGCTTACTGTTCTATGACATCGTTTTTGATCATAGTTTGAAGGATGTGTGGCTCAGTGAATTGCAGGTAAAATCTTGATTTCTTTCGATTGTAATAGAATGATTGACGCAATACATGATATATGAGGAAGTCATTAGGTTGATGAGAAAGTTCTCGGACATTGCGCAGGGATTTTGCTTCGATGCGAGCACCAACAGGGCATGGTACATCATTGAATAGAAGAAGGCACCATTTAAGGCCATACTTATCAAGAGCATAACCTATGAATTTTGTGGAAATAGCTTCGAAAATGCAAAGATATAGTTATCTTCGCATTTTCGCCGCTTTTTCAGATTGGCAGAGCGCTGATCTCCACCTTCCGTAAACAATGCGACACTCACAAATACTTTCATACATATAGTCGATTCGTTGACCGCACGGACTGGATATCACTGCGGAGCACGCCCGCGAGGTAAAACACTTGCCCCAATACAAATTCGCGATTGTACAAGTCGTGCTCTCACAACATTTCAGCCGCGCCGCGCGTGGTCCGCAGCGTTTGAGCAGTCCGTTTGGTCAATGATTCGACGATAGTAGACATGAACTGATATAGATACAGTCGAGTAGATTTTCCGCTTAATATAGTGTGCTTGCACAGAAGGTGAAATGCGGTGAAATTTGCGCGTGGATAAATAGCCACGCCAGCATTGCCGGCATTGCGCGCGCAACTGATCGGCGTCACAGTCGAAGCTATTTGATCATGCGAAAATTTCACCGCATTTCACTTTGTGTGCAAACACACTATATTAAGCGGAAAATCTACTCGAGTGTACATACGTGCAAAGTCTGCATGGAATTCGAGCTTAATTAGCGGGAAAAATCCATTGAGAAGTGGCAAGCTCCTCCCTCATTAGTCCTAATCACCTCCTACTTGCGCAGATATAAACCATGTCCAAGTTGAAGTACGACTACAAATTTTCGCGTTCATATATGCATTACAACATAAGAGATAGCCATTTTTAATGAAAATGAAAAGATGAAAATGTCCGAGAACTTTCTCACCAACGTAATATATTTTGGGACTGTCAATTTGAGAGTTTCGGCTAGAGGTTACTTTCAACCAACATTATCATTTGCAGGCTCATCCAATTGACCTAAACTCCCGCGATTTATATAAGAATCGGCAAGAAAGATTTGATGAGCGATTTGCCTGGTTAGAGACAACCACAAATGAAGAGATCGAGGACGTGGTGCGATCAACATGGAGTGCACAACATGCTCAAGAAACATCCGAAATCAATTGGGAACTCTTCCACAGTGTCGACGATTTACTCGTAAGTCTTCTTCTTGCCGAGGCTTTCGATAGTGTCCTATATTTTTTTTTAGGTATTTCTGTTTTGCTGTCCGAGACCAGGCCTGCTTGCGGTACTACGCAGAGTAATCACAGACTACCGCAATTGTCGAAGTGGATTTCCCGATCTGACTGTTTGGAACTCTAGCAAGAAAACGGTTGCTGTGAGTGTCTTCACTTGGCCAAGGGTTCCTTTGCTTTATGAATTTTATTAAGGTGGTGGAAGTGAAGGGCCCCGGTGATAAGCTTTCCACAAAACAGCGTCTATGGCTCGATTACTTCATGCGAAATGGTATTAGAGCCGAGGTTTGCCATGTGATAGGTGAGTTGCCAGAGGAGCCACAAAAGAAGCATTTGGTCTTTCTTGTCTATCTTTAAAGCGACATTTCAGCTGAAGGCAGCCGCAAACTGAGAAAATAGTTACGAAGAAATGCAAAACAGTGATAGCTATATGGCCGTATGCGGGTTTGGAATTGTTGCCTTGACAGGATGGAGAAGTTAAACTTCGGCACTAGCAAAAAGTTCCTCACGAAAAAACTACGAGTTATCAGTCATGCTGATCCTCTTGCAGTAATTGCCTTGTGGAGCTTAAATTCTCGTCTTTCGGTCTTGCTAAAAATCAGTGAGCCAATGATCGCTGTGAAATGTCCTCCCAAATTCTAGCATTGTTTCGATGCTCAGAATGCCCCAGTTACACAAAATTTCTACCAATTTGCTTCTGCATGATCGAATTAGTGTCTATCAAAATCAAATTAGCCCTATATCAGTTTTCGGATTTCGAACATCTTGGGGTTATAAGTCTGACAAGGGAATGGTCAGAAGTCGAAATGACTTAAGCAAGTTGCATACCGTTCGATGCAGCATTCAACGCTAATTGCGAATCTGTATTCCATATCCGCCTAGCGCCTTTGTGGACGAAGTTATGAGGAAAAACCGTACATAAAAATTGCGGAATTGAGCACATTGTTTCAGCTCACCATTAGGCTCCAAAAATATAAAGTACTTAGTCGCATGTTTTGGCCCAGCATTAAGCCGAACATGGCTCTGTATTGCCAGATTTGCGCTTTGCATGCACGATTTCTTAGCAAAATATTGACTTGTAGCGGCTCATAATTTCGCCCACATAGGCGCTAAGCAGATAAAAAATGCAGATCCAAGATCAGCGTTTCATGCTGTATCTAATGGTATGCAGCTTGCTTGGATTGCTCACTTCGAGTTCTGACCATTCCCTTGTGAGTTTGAGAAGCTTCCGGTTTTTTGGAGGCGTTGCTAACAATAAGTTCACGCCTTAGAGAAGCCCAAGGCCGTTTTTTGAGTTGCACGGGTGACGCAGTCGAAGACCCTGCTTAGAACTTTGCCCAGCCTACCCGTTCATTCCTACTTGTTTGCCTCCTCCTCATACATGTGAAGTCTTTCCTCGGTGTGTTTTTCGATCGTCTCAATATCCTTATTCAAGTAATCCAATTTCACTAGTATAGGACGCACCTTTTCCGATTTTTCGAGCCGCTCGGCCGTCTCTCATTTCGGAAAACGAGGCCTATGCTGCACGATACTCTCAGGCATATGCAGCACTGTATATAGTTGTTTGGTCGTGAAGACCTTCGGCATGTCTGTGCTGTTCAATTTTAGAAAGAAATTTCCCGCATCCTATACTCGTGAAATTAGGGTGTTACTGAATGCTTTCAATTGTTCACTTGGATTGCTTTCTCAATTTGTGGCATCGTTTTATTTCTGTTTTATCCAAATCTGCATCTTTTTATCTGGAAATAGGGTAACACATTGAACTCAAAATCTCTTTTATAGTCTTTGTTGTAAGCAGGAGCACTCATATTACTCGGTGCTTCGATTACGTGTACTGCATGTCTATAATTTTTTGTACTATATTGCATAACGTCTACAGAACTGAACATTTTTGAATTGCTGCAGAGCTGAAACTGACAAGAATAATTGATTACAAAGTCATTTATTCTTAGTTTATGAGACTTGGGAACACTGCGAAGTTGTTTGAATCAGTGATCTGCCTGCCAGTTTCCGCAATGATCTGATCTGCTGTTTCGCTCCACATTAATCTGCGGTCAAACTACTTCCGGAGAGCGATCTTAACCCGTGGGTTATGAAGAAACGGCAAGGGTGTTGCTATGTAGGTTGTTTGTAGAGCTAATCTCGTTTCCTTACTCACAAAGGTGCTTTGCTGCGGGAAAAGGTGGCTACTATTTGACCAATGCACCTAACATTTGATTCAACTGGCTTGGCACCATTAGAGCGCGGTTTTGTGATCTAATTGAGGCCGCTCGCGCCCGCGACGCACCTGCGCCTCTCTCGCGCGAGTGCTCTCTGGTCATTACCTAGCCTTAATTAGGTCACGAAGCCCCGCCTTTGCCGATGCCAAGCCAGTTGAATCAAATGGTAGCTGTACGTAGGTGAGAGATTATTCGACCTTGTTGGGTTAGGAATTGTTATACGTTGAACAGGAAAGAATGATGAGTTCATATTTATAGGATACGGTATGTGTGTTTGTGAGAAATGTGACTTCTAATGGTTGAAATATGATCGAGAGTGAAGTCGACTTCATGCCATGTGGTAGAAATGGCTTGCGAGTATGATTTAGACATGGAATCTGATTTTGATCTGAAAAAAAATAAAATAAAATATCATATGAAGTACCAATAATCTGGTTTTGATTATTGATATCTCATATGATATTTCCACCGATTTTTCATACTCGGTTCATCACAATTTGAGCTCTGCTGTCAACGTGGTAGCTCAATCCTATTTCCATGTATTCGCGTGTGTTTCATTCATCAGTTCTCGTGATCAATATGTTAGCAGGTCATCTACATCCGCTATTTCTAGCAATTTGACTCTTCCTCTATTTTATATGGGTAAAGTTGCGCCTCCTGACATACATCCCATCATCCAGGAGTCCATACGGCAGATACATCCTGCACCCTCAGCATACGTCACAGCTTGGGTATTACGGCTGATAAAAGGAATCATCGATCCGTTGCTGATATCATTTATTCGGAAAGTGTCTCTTTCAGCCCTTCTAGGGTTCCTTCGACTTAATATTGAAGAATTACATGTGCTATAAAGAACAAGACCTAGAAATGTATATAACAATAACCTGAGATTTTTATTCCTTTAGCGACTACATCGACGATGAAAATGCGATGGGATACGCAGAAAGCTTTAAAAATGAAATTCAGGGAACGAATTGCTCAAAATGAATAAGTTGTAATTAGAGCTTGAATCAGCAAAGGTAAAAATGAGGAGAGAGTCTATGCAAAAAATATTAGGTTGGTTCAAAAGTTCTGTCCCAGCATTTTCAAAAATCATAACTTCCTCCTAACATGATGTTTTTGCATGGTTAAAACCTTGTTGAAAAGAGCAATCCATGCGCTTTCTAGTAACGTCTTGGCTGCTATCTAATATGCTGGAATGCAGAGATAAAATTGGAAAAAGGAAATTCAAGTTCGGAATTTTTAAGCAAGCCCGTTAAAAAATCTAAACTATGCCATAAAATCCAAAACAGCCATTATCCTAGACCTTTTGAACCCCTCTTTCTAGCTCAGCAAAATTTGCGCTGATCGATCTGTTATTTTGAAAGTTATGATTTTTGAAGAAAATGTCAAAAAATCAATTTTTTTAAGAAATTGATTTTTTGGCATTTTTTCTTGAAAATCATAACTTTTCTAGGAAGAGCTCCACAGCGCGAATTTTGCTCAGATAGAAAGAGGGGATCAGAAAACGTAGGTTACCGGCTGTTTTGGACTTTATGGCACAGTTTAGATTTTTTAACGAGCTTGCTTAAAAATTCCGAACTTGAAGTGATTTCTTTTCCCAATTTTATCTCTGCATTCAGAGCTTATTAGATAGCAGCCAAGATGTTTCTAGGAAGGCATGAATTGTTCTTTCCACTAAGTTTTTAGCCATGCAGAAACATCATGCTAGGAGGAAGTTATGATTTTTTTGCAAATGGTGGGACAGAACTTTCGGACCAACCTAATACAAAATTCGCAAACTTTCCAATATTCGCGATTTAAACCATTTGAGTTTGCCTTGCACATATCAGGCTGTCAGTCATGAACTTTCTGCCTCCAAGACTCCCGCGTCGGGCCCTGATTGCACCCTATCAAAAACTCCACTTATTCTGGGTAGGCGGTGCCTGCTGTCCTAAGAAATTGCAGCCCAACTGTTGCTGTTCTCGAGACAGATGTTGTGTTATTTTTTCAATATCCCACTCGATATAATTTCTGCTTTTGTAGATGTAATGTATGCAGTGTAGTCTTTATATCTATAAAGCAAAAAGTTCGTGTACAAGGGGAATGCGGACCATAAGATCTCTTTCTGCGTGAACCAATTAAACTGAAATTTCACACACATATGTTTTTGACCCCGTAGATAGTGTGATGCTACTTTCTATGCGGACTCGTTAGGTCCTTCCATGAAATTATTGACTTTTGCCCTCTGCAATAAAAATGAGTTCTTGACATTTCCACGTTTTCCATAAACATAGCAGACGGGCTATTTTGCGAGCAGTATATGGTTGGTGGAGCAAGGCAGGTGCATATAGGTAGTTGTTGTATGGTGGACCCTTCGCACGGGTTAAGACTACCGGAGGGGTAGGGAGGGGGATGGGACTGTAGAAGAGGACGCTGTAGTCGTCTGCATCACATTCACGGTCTGCTCCCTCCTTTGGACCAATTCTGGCATTTAACCCGGGGTGAACGGGTGGCCATCTAGTAGGAGGAATATAATGGGAATTCTAGCCGCAGCTTGTCGAATATTTAATGGCGTTCGGAGAAACCATGCTTAGAACGAATCATAGCTTTTTGGACAACTTTTTTCCTTCAAAACTTCTTTTTCGATATAGATTTCTGTGTATCATTGGAAAGCTTTCTTCATGTACTTTCTAACAATGGTAAAACTAAGCTTCTATCTTATCTCTGAGAATTTCACAAGCATCTCGCACAACTGCACTCAAAATCGAAATTTCGTTGCTTCAACTTCCCTGGCCACAATTCAGGCGCAAATGGACGAATTCTTTTGAAAACATAGTTGCTGTATTGGTTGAAGTTGAACATTGTTAACCTATAGCATGTTTAAGTAGATTTTTCAAAAGTGTATGGACCGAGAGATCGACACCGCGAAATATGTAGACTCTCCGCTAGTATTCTACGGCTCAAAGTTTCGCATAATTAGGGCAATCACCAAAGCTTCCCTCATTTCTGTAGCTTGAGGTCAGGACATGCTGCCTATAATTTTTCAGAAAAACTTATAATCCAGCGCATAAAGAATTCCAAATTTCTATAGTTTGGGGCCTTCTGGCCTGCGACAAATAGGCTCAAAAAAGTAAACAATTTTGAACTTCTATCTTTTCTTTTCGCAGGTCCCCTTCGTTGAAGTTCTTTCTATACAAGCGTTTACTACTGGCTTGCGTCTACAAAATGAGCTGATCAGCAGCCATAGGAACAGAACTTGGAGGGAATTGTAATCTCTCAAAGACAAGGTTTTCAAAAGAAAAACTTTTTGTTTTTTTGGCGCGTGGTTCTATTCCTGTTTGCGTTATTTATTTATTTGTCTATTTAAATACGCCACAGGCGCGCCATACTTCGGGTTAGTAATTAACAGATTCTTGAAAAAAATCAGTGTTAGAAATACACAAACACAGAGACAAGGAACCTTAATGCAGAAAAATAAGGTAGCTTTTTTGAGACCATTCGCCAGCCTAGGTCCACACTAATGAATGATA